CTCAGCCTCCCGAGTAGCTGGGACTACAGGCATGTGCCACCATGCCCAGCTAATTTTTTTCTATATATATTAGTTGGCCAATTAATTTCTTTCTATTTATATAGTAGAGACGGGGGTCTCGCTCTTGCTCAGGCTGGTTTCAAACTCCTGACCTCAAGCAATCCACCCGCCTCAGCCTCCCAGAGTGTTAGGATTACAGGCGTGAGCCACCACGCCCGGCCAAGAAAATATAAATTAAAATAATGACAAATATCTTTTATCTGTTAGACTTATAAACTTAAAATTAATTTTAATACCCGCTATTAATGAAAGGGTTGGAAATTGGTATTCTCACAACTAGTGGAGTGGGGGAAAAAAGCACAACTTTTCTGAAATTGTATTTGGTAGATCTAAATATGCCAAATATATGCTCAAAAATATACTCTTATAAGTTACCTCACTCCTAAGGATTCCTGACCTCTTACCATTCTCTACATTTTCTTCTATAGTACTTACCTCTGACACTTTAGTTAGCTAACTAGCTACTACAATAATTATTTTATTGTCTTTTTCTTCTGTCTAAAATGTAAGTTCAATGAGAGCTAGGATTTAGTCCATTTTGTTCACTGACATGTCTCAACAACCTAGGATGATGTCTAGAGCATGCTGGGCACTTTCACAAAGTATCTGAATGAGTAAATAAATATATGAAAGAACAAATAAATGATTTACAAACAAGAAGATATTATTTCTTCTATCTGGTTGGTAAAGATTTAAAAAGACAAACAGTGCTCAGAATTGACAAAGGTATAGAAAAAATAGCACTCTCATACATTAGAGTTGGAAATAAACTGGCACAAGCCTTTTGGAAGGCAACTTAACAACCAGTATCAAGGTTTTAAACGTATATTACCCTTGACACACAACCGCAGTTGTGAAAATTTACCTTAAGTTCTAGATCAGGTAATAGTATAAAAATGTATATTTAGAAAGATGTCTATCACCGCCACTGTTTATAAAAGAGGAAACTTAAAAACTTCAATTTTATCAGTAAGATTCTATAAAGTATGGAACATCCAAAATATGAGAAACTATGCAGCTATCTTAAAAGAATGATATTAAACATATGCTAACATGAAATAACATTCCTAAAATATCAGATAAAAAGCAAATTACATTAACAACTTATAGGAAATATAATGTATATAAAATAATGTGTGAGTCTACCTATATGCATAAAGAGAACATGGAAGTGTGGTCACCAAAACTTTAACAAATATTACCTTCAGTCTGAGGCTTTAATTTTTACTTTCTTATGTTCTTCTTTATTACTGAATTTTCTACAGAGTATACCACCTTTCTATTCAGAAAAAACAAAGCTATTTTCATTTGGAAAAACCTCGAAAGCTCTGTTTCTAATCTCTTTATGGTAATATAAATTAAGAAAGAAAACTTATTTTCCATCATAAGACTTCTCTACCAGATTGTGCAGAACTTAACTATCTTGATTTCTACTTTATCTTAAATCTTTAAAAAAAAAAATCGTTTCAATGTCATTTCAGCAGACAATTCCCAGAAACCTACCAGCAATGCCCAGGCTAGCATGACCAACACTAAAGTCATGATTTCTTCTTGCCTAGTACTTTTTCTGCATTGAACTGGCATGTTAACACATGTTGCATAGGCAGAAACTAAACCAACCAAACAAAAAAGACTATGTGCAGCCCTCACTGAAATTGTTTAAGTGTATGCTTTTTTTTTTTTTTTGAGACAGAGTCTCACTCTGATGCCCAGGCTAGGGAGTGCCCGCAGGTGCCAGCCTAGCTCACAGCAATCTCAAACTCCTGGGCTCAAGCAATCCTGCCTCAGCCTCCCGAGTAGCTGGACTACAGGCATGGTGCCACCATGCTCGGCTAATTTTTTCTATATATTTTAGTTGGCCAATTAATTTCTTTCTATTTTTTAGTAGAGACAGGGTCTCACTCTTGCTCAGGCTGGTTTCAAACTCCTGACCTTGAGCAATCCGCACCTCGGCCTCCCAGAGTGCTAGGATCACAGGCGTGAGCCACTGCGCCTGACTAAAGTGTATGCTTCTTAAAGAATGTGAAAATCATTGTCTGACTTACCTAAAGAAGCAATATAATTCCTTATCTACCTATTAAGCTCAGAAATCAATTTGGGAAAATATAATATCAAAAAAAAAAAAAAAAAAAAAGTATTGAAATGCTGGTAGGATATTCGTATCCAGAGAACTATAAGAGAGAAATTAAATAGATGCTACTATGAACTGTTCAGAAATAACATATTTCTTGCTACATGATAGAAAATGGTTTTCAATTAGATAATTGCAGTATATGTATTATTTTAAAAATGTAACTGAAAATAAAACAACAAAATTGTATAAAATGTCTTTATACTCCAGTTATCTACTCCAGTTATCTAAACTACAAGTAAATACTGAAGTACAAAGTGGTATTCATCTAATTTATTTATTAGAAACATTATTATTCAAACATTTAATAAGCACTATGAGCCAGACACTGTGTCAATTACAGAAATGGTTCAGACATGGTCCCTTGGCTCAAAAACCTTATTCCCCTCATCCCTATTTCCAACATGACACACTTATAATGGTTATATACACAAACTTGAAGAAATACAAACATCCCCACTAGAACTTTGCTTCACAAACCAGCAAATACAAAAGAGTTGAAAATCAAACACAAAACTATTAATACAAATATCCATAATTTTTAAATTGTTATCACTATTCTATATTAATACTAAATCCTGACATCTCAAATTAGATTTATCTTCCTTTCTATGATAAGGCTGTAAGTAAAGAGAACTCTAGAACTGCTCTGAGACATCTAGAACACTTTGAAAAGAGGGTCAGGAAAAGGCAAAAGAAACCTCTTTTCTTCAATGTTTAACAAAACAGGGTATTAAAATTTCAGTAAGGAAGGATCACAACAAAAACAATGATCTCATTTTAACAAATATTACACATCAAAAGGTTATTTTGTACTAATATTAGAATGCTAATGAGTAACCAACAAAAGATAAATATTTATGTTATTGTTCCTTGAAAAAATCTTATCTATAAACACAAATCACTATAAACACTACCAAGGTATAAGCAGTTAAGAAAGTTGGAAGTACTCTGATACTGATATAGTATAAACCTACCTGTGCACATGATTCTTCAGGTGTTTTGGCACTAACTGAATAAAGTGCTGGGAGATCTAGTCTATGCACAGAGAATCTCTCAAGAGTGTGCAAAACTGCTGGAGCAAGGTGAGAAGTCTGACCTGAGCCTCGTTCTCCAGACAGCAATAATCGAGGCCTGTATGAGGTTGGCTGATGATATGGTGACCTGTAATACATGTTAAGACATAATGACTTGAAAACTATACATTCTGAAGATCACTATGAAATATAAGGCAAAATATTTATATTAAAAGAATGTACTTCCAAATTAATAAAACTTTCTTATTTTCAAAATACAGTGATTTATTTTTTCATTAATCGTGGTTTTAAAATGTTGATAAGTCTGACCATATTAATAACCAAGATATAAAACTATTAAAATCCATCCTAAAAGAAAAGAAAATTACCTCGGCATTCAACCTATCATACCACATATATTACCTTAGAGAATGAATAAAACTCTAAGTGTCATTTAGTTTTAAATTATCCAAAATCAAATGTTAAGAATCCCACTTCTCCAATGAAGAGGTGGTTCTGGAGCTTATTCCAAAGTGAGGACTTATAGGTGAGGATTTCAGGAAGTAATTATTTAATAAGTCATGTGGGCTCTGCCCTCATGAATAAATTATTGACCTTATAAAAGGGGTTGAGGGAACTAGCTAGTCCCTTCAGTCTTTTCCACCATGTGAGGATAAAATATTCATCCCCTTCAGAGAAAGCAGCAGTCAAGGTGCTATCATGGAAGCAGAAACAGAGCCCTAACCAGATACCAAACCTGCGAGCACCTTGATCTTGGACTTCCCAGCTCCATAACTGTGAGCAATAAATTTATGCTGTTCAGAGATTATCCAGTCTAAGGTATATCATTATAGTAACAGGAATAGACACAGATGATCACAATTTTTAAAATAGAAAAAGAAAATTAGAACTTTTTCAGAGACAAATTTTATTTCTGTAACAATAAAAACTAATTGTTCTTACCCTAACATAAGATCTCTAAAGCCCTAAACCCAGAGATGGAAAATATTATTAAACCAAACTTAACTTGTATTCTCAAGATTATACAGCACCATTAAAATAAATGAAATAAGTTCATATACTCTCACTGTAGGTAATGCTAGAAATTCTAAGGCAATGCAATAAGAATAAAGCAAATTAAAAATGGAACTAATAGAAAAAAGGAAAAACTGATACTTGTAAAGGATAGAATTATGCATTAGAAAATTCAAAAGTATCAACTAATAACTACCAGCAAAGTAATAGCAAGTCGGATGAGGAAAAAACCCAGAGTATTTAATAGATTTCTTAAACATTATCAATAACCAATGTGGGCTGGGCACAGTGGTTCACGCCTGTAATCCTAACACTTTGGGAGGCTGAGGAAAGAGGATCACTTGAGCCTCCTGAGCCTTGTGAAGGAATTCAAAACCAACCTGGGCAATAGCGAGACCCTGTCTCTAAAAAAAAAAAACCCAATCTAAAAAAGAAAAGGAAGTCCCATTCATAACTGCAAAAATAATACAAAAGGTAAAGCAAATATCAAATAATCATCTCAGCAAGAAAAGTATAAAACTGAGCTTGAACACAAAGACTAAATATTAATATATAAAGATGTCAATTCTTGGCCAGGCGTGGTGCCTCACACCTATAATCCTAGCACTCTGGGAGGCCAAGGCAGGTGGATAGCTCGAGGTCAGGAGTTCAAAACCAGCCTGAGCAAGAGCAGACCCCGTCTCTATTATAAATAGAAAGAAATTAATTGGCCAACTAATATATATGGAAAAAATTAGCCGGACATGGTGGTGCATGCTTGTAGTCCCAGCTACTCGGGAGGCTGAGGCAGCAGGATTGCTTCAGCCCGAGAGTTTGAGGTTGCCGTGAGCTAGGCTGATGCCATGGCACTCACTCTAGCCTGGGCAACAAAACAAGACTCTGTGTCAAAAAAAAAAAAAGTGTCAATTCTTCCTAACCCATTTATATTTTATTTTATACATTAAAATTTTCAATTCAAAAAGAATTTTTCAGGGGAGAGGAGTTTAAACTTATTCTCAACTTTATCTGAAAGATTAATCAAGTAAGAACATCAAGAATATTTTGGAAAAATATGCTACCAATTTTAGAATAAACATGTTTTATTAACAAATACTTCATACAGATTTCTTATTCAATTTTCTTAACAATTCTGTATAATACATAGTTTCATTTTATAAAACAGATGAGGAAACCAAGGCTAAGGGAAGTTAGGTATAACATTGTACAACTGGTAATAGAGTTCAAAATCTCATTGAGGCCCATATAATTGCAAAGCCCAGGTTCTGAACCACTATATTAAGATGTGCCCTATTTTATTTTAAAACATATTACAGAATAACAATTAATAGAATGTAGAATACACCAAAGAAAAGAAACACAGAACAATGAACCATAATACGCACCCTAGGGAACAAATCATAGTAATTGAAAGAATTTCATATAAGAAGGAATGGAACACAAATGGATGATAAAATAAATACTGTTTAAAAATAAGGGGGATTCAGACCCTCATTTCACAGCATAACCAAAATGAATTCTAACACAGAAACAAAGAAAAGACAAAAGATTCATATATTTTTAATCCATAAAAATCTAAAAACTTTTGTAACTCAAAAATTATAATTGAGCCAAATGGCAAACAACCAAATGGGATAAAGACTTTGCCATAAACAAGAACAGATCTTAACATACAAATAGTTTATGTTGAATTTTGTCAAAAGCTTTTTCTGCATCTATTGAAAGAATCATGTGGTCTTTGGTTTTGCTTCTGTTTATGTGGTGAATTGCATTTATAGATTTACGTATGTTGAATCATCCCTGCATCCCTGGGATGAAGTCCACTTGGTTGTGATGGATTAATTTTTGATAAGCGTCTGGATTTGGTTAGCTAAGATTCTGTTGAAAATTTTTGCATCTATGTTCATTAGGGATATTGGTCTGTAGTTTTCTTTTTTTGTTGCATCCTTTCCTGGTTTTGGTATCAGAGTAATATTCGCTTCATAAAAGGTGTCGGGGAGGTTTCCGTTCCTCTCGATGTTGTGGAATAGTTTCTGCAAGACAGGTACTAGTTCTTCTTTGTATGTGTGGTAAAATTCGGGTGTGAAACCATCTGGACTGGGACTTTTCTTTTTAGGGAGATTTTTAATTGCTGTTTCTATTTCAGCTCTTGAGATTGGTCTGTTCAGGAAATCTATTTCTTCCTGGTTGAGCCTAGGAGGCTGTGTGTTTCAGAAATTTGTCCATTTCCTCCCATTTTCCAGTTTGTGTGCATAAATTTTTTGTAGTATTCATAAATTATATCTTGTATCTCTTTGGGATCAGTTGTGATATCTCCTTTTTGTTCCTGATGGAGCTTATTAGAGATTTCTCTTTTCTGCTTTTCGTTAGCTTACCCAATGGCATGTCAATTTTGCTTATTTTCTCAAGGAACCAACCAACATTTTGTTTTATTAATCTCCTAAATAGCTTCCCTGTTCTCAATTTCGTTTAGTTCTGGTTTGATCTTGTTGATTTCACTTCTTCTGCTGGGTTTGGGGTTGGTCTGTTCTTCTTTTTCCAGCTCTTTGAGTCGTTTCGATAGATTGTCTATTTGTGATCTTTTGACTTTTGGTTATAGGCATTTATGGAGATAAACTTTCCTCTCAGAACTGCTTTAGCTGTGTCCCAGAGGATTTGATAACTTGTCTCTCCATTGTCATTTTGTTCATAGAATTTTATTTCCATCTTGATTTCTTCATTTATGAAGTAATCATTTAGTAGGAGGTTGTTTAATTTCCATGTTTTTGTGTAGAAATGTGAGTTTCTGTTAGGGTTGATTTCTACTTTTATTCCACTGTGATCTGAGAAGATACATGGTATGATTTCTATTTTTTAATTTCTTGAGATTTACTTTGTGTCCTAGGATATGGTCAATCTTAGAGAATGTCCCGTGAGCTGATGAGAAGAACGTATATTCAGTGGATTTGGGGTAGAATGTCCTGTAAATGTCAGTCAGACCCAATTGTTCTAGAGTTTTGTTTAAGTCCATTATTTCTTTATTAATTTTCTGTTTGGAGGATCTGTCTTGTGCCGTCAGTGAGGTGTTGAAATCTCCGGTGATTATGGAGTTGCTATTAATCAATTTGCTTAGATCCAGTAAGGTTTGCTTTATGAATCTGGGTGCCCCTAAGTTGGGTGCATATATATATAAAATGTTATCTCTTCTTGTTGAACTGTGCCCTTCACCATTATATAATGACCCTCTTTGTCTTTCACTACTTTTATTGGTTTAAAAACTAAATCATCTGAAATTAGAACAGCCACGCCAGCCTTCTTTTGGCTTCCACTTGCTTGGAATACTGATCTCCACCCTTTTACTTTTAGTCTATATGCATCCTTGCAGTTAGATGTGTTTCCTGAAGACAGCATATACTTGGCCTGTATTTTCTTATCCATTCAGCCAGCCTATGTCTCTTGAGTGGAGAGTTTAAGCCATTCACATTTATTGAGAGAACTGATAGGCAAGGTAGATTACTGTTCATTCTGTTGGGTTGTATGTTGTTGCTTTGATTTCTCTCTTGAGCCATTGTAATAATCTGGCCTTTGGGTTTTAGTTGTTTTTATATTCGTGAGTTTTTATTATGGTGTTCCATGAGTAGCACTGTTGGGCTCCTATGTGTAATCTCAGTGACTCAAGAAGCTGATGGGGAGGATACTTGAGGCCAGGGTTTGAGACTAGCCTGGGTAACACAGCAAGACTCTGTCTCTAAAAATAAAATCTTTCTTAAAGCTTATGTGCATAGTTTTTTTTTTTCTAAAAACCACCTCCATGAAGAAAGGATGTAAAATAGACAATTCAAAGGGAAAACAGAAAGAGATGACATTTTTTAATGTTTTTCATTTAATAATTGTAGAATGCTTCCTATTCTCAATGCCTTTGCCCAACAATACCAGTATTATCATAGAGTTTATCCCTGAGTGGTATTTAGTGGAACAGTTAATATCAAATTACTATAATTCAGTGTGATTAATAAGCGGTACTGTATTTAAAAGTACACAGTGCTATGGGGACCCTGATTAGAAACTTATAAAAGGCTTCCAGAAAAAATGATCCAAAAGCAGAAACCAAAGAGATTGGAGGTAGAAGGGAAGAAT